ACCAATGAGGTGAGAGGGAGGCGCGGGCTGCCGCGCGGGAGGAGAGGGGGTCGCTCAGGACCCCAAGTTCCGCGGTGGATGACTGCAACCCAGGGATGCTAGCGCGGCGGGGTGGCAGTGGTCGTACCCCGGGGTCCAATGTACAGCTTTGGGGAACACATTTGCAAGTTATTCCCAAGGGGAAGTCCCCTAAGTGGGTGCCCAGCCAGTTCTTGCCCCTCGCGGATGCCCTGGCGGCAGCGGGTTTGTGGAAGCCCCGGGGCCTAGCCTGTTTCCCGGCTTACGGCAGCAGCGTAGCCCGCAGTCAAATGCAACTGGCACTTCGCACGCACTGTGCTTTCTCCCGTCTCTTCCCGTCTCCTCCCGCGGCGCTGTCCTCGGCCGCCCTCGACCTTTCGCACTCGTGACTGCCTGGCCAGGGAGCCTGGCGGGCTGCAGCAGGTGCTGGGGGAAAAGCTTGACTGGACGACCTTCCTCTGGGATGTGCCCCCCTTCCCCTTCCCCTGGGAATGGTTGAACACAAGAGAAACCTGACGTTGTCTCTCCTTTCCTTTTGGGCTTAGATTTCTGATTTCCTGCAGCCTCCTCTTACCCCGGGCTGCCCAAGTCTTGGCGGCTGAGGGTGGCTTACCATCCAGCCGTTCCTTCATGGGCTTTGCTGCCCCCTTCACCAACAAGAGAAAGGCTTACTCCGAGCGTAGGATCATGGGGTGAGCATCCTCCCCTGTCCAGCATCCCTCCACATTCCCTTCCCTCCAAACAAATAACCATGTCCAGGTTAGAGTGTAAGGGTAGAAATAGTGAGCAAGATTCATCCCTGCCCATCTCTCCCAGCTGTACTACTGATCCTTTATCCTCTCCTGCCAGCTTTCCAACTTAATTTCCCCCTTCTTGATTGCCCTGCATGTGCATTAAGTGAAACGTCCCTAGGATAAGACAACAGGGTATTATTTCTCTGCCGACCTGAGTTTATGTATTCTCAGGTTACCTAACACTTACTGAACACTTGCTACTGCTAGCAGTTAGGCTGCTTAGGTGTTTTACATAGATTTTCTCATTTGCTCCTTTCAACAAACCTATGAATTAGGTATTGTTATTGCCTCTGACTTGCAGGTGAGAAAATGGAGGTACAGATAATGTACCTAAGACTACATTGTTAGAAAGTTGTAGAGCTGGGATTTGAGTCCTTGTATGACTGACAACCTCTGTTCTTCCTAGATGATCCCTCACAAGATAAAAATAGATACTAAATGCAAAAGCATTCTCTAAACTGTAAAACATAAGGTAACATTAACATGAAAATTTGCACATCTGCTTTGGGAAGCCATTCATTTAGGCTTATTTGGGGTCTCTAGTTCCTGAAGGTGCATGGTTAGTGGGCAGAGGTACTGGGGGGAACACACCTAGGGCAAGGAGGAGACTGAACCAGCTGGCAGTTCCTTGGCCTCTCTGATTCCTTCTCCTAGGTACTCAATGCAGGAGATGTTCGAGGTGGTATCCAATGTCCAGGAGTACTGCGAGTTTGTGCCTTGGTGTAAGAAGTCTTTGGTGGTATCCAGCCGCAAAGGTCACCTGAAAGCCCAGTTGGAGGTTGGCTTTCCACCTATCATGGAACGTTATACCTCTGCTGTTTCCACGGTCAAACCTCACATGGTCAAGGTGAGGTTTGTCTGGAACAGATTGATCAGGAAGTTTCTTCTGTGTTCTTTAGCATTTTACATTTAAGGACTAGTTTGGCCTTCCTTGTAATCATTTATTTCCATATCTCAAATACTTCCCTAATAAAATATTAGAAGGAAAGGAAAATGACTTTCAATTCCTTCTTATAGCCTCCTATACTCATTATAGGTTTTATTCCATTGTATGATGTTTAACTACCTGACTGCCCTATTCTAGGCTGTTTGCACTGATGGCAAGCTCTTCAACCACTTAGAGACCATTTGGCGATTCAGCCCGGGTATTCCTGCCTACCCCCGAACTTGCACTGTGGACTTTTCGGTGAGTCAGGAGCCTGAATGACACAGGGCTACAATTGGGTGTGGGGGCAGAGCTCAGGTACTGTGACAGTTATTCTTTTTTTAAACATATTTTTGATTTTTTAGAGAGAGAAGGAAGAAACATCAATTTGTTTCACTTATTCATGTATTCATTGATTGCTTCCTGTATGTGCCCTGACCAGATGGAGATCAAACTCACAACCCTGGTGTTTCAGGATGATGCTCTAACCAACTGAGCTACCTGGCCAGGGCTATGTGACAGTTATTCTTTTTCTTCTTTTTCAAAATTTTTTTTAGAGAAAGGAAGGGAGAAGGGAGAGAGAGAAACATCTATCAGCTGCCTCCTGCATGCCCCCTACTGGAGATGAGCAGGCAACCTGGGCACGTGCCCTGACCAGGAATCAAACCGTGACCTCTTGGTTCCTAGGTCTGATGCTCAATCACTGAGCCACACCGGCTGGGCGACAGTTATTCTTTATGTATAGCTAGCACTTAGACTTCCCAAGTCAATGACCCTTTCTACAGGTCTGACCTTTTATCAAACTTGAACATTGTGCTCAGTCCTAAGTTAGGGCTTTTGAGGGGCTCTAAGGAACTGAAAGGGGAGGGTAAGAAAAGGCACTGAATAAGTATCCTTGCATTTGGCCAGGGACTATCCAGCATGGTCTTAGAGTTTCTGACTGTCTCTTACCCATTCCCAGATTTCCTTTGAATTTCGTTCTCTGCTGCACTCCCAGCTGGCCACCATGTTTTTTGATGAGGTTGTCAAACAGAATGTCGCTGCCTTCGAGCGCCGGGCAGCCACCAAGTTTGGTCCAGAAACAGCCATCCCCCGTGAACTGATGTTCCATGAGGTGCACCACAGTTGAGGCAAAAGAGTGTTAAGAGTGTTCCTTAGCTTCTTGACTCTCCCTCTCCACCCAATTCTTTTATTTATTTCACTTGGCTCCTGCTCCAATCTGAGAGAAGTCTGTGTTTATAGTACTGTTTTCCCTCCCGTTTCTCCAGAAATTGGGCTCTAAGCTGGCTGGAAACGCTGGGAGAAAGAAATGGCAGGGGGGTATGGAAAGGACAAATGATTAGGAAATGGTCGGGCTCACCTTGAGAGCCCTATATGCCTGATGCCTGCAGCTTTCTCACACTGAATTATAATTAGGACTGTGTGGCTATCTCTGAGCCCTGTCAAGATACCTTAGTGTCTGACCAGGGAAAACAGCAACTTTTCTTAAGGATTGAATAAATTGAGCTTTTCCCTCTGACACAGAGGAACTGAATGGTCAATTACTTTTGCTTGCTTGAAGTGCCTCAGGGGATGCCAGAGATCTGGCCACAGCTTGAAATCACATGACCTTACTTTAAAAAATATTTCCATGTTAGTGGAGAGCCTGGGGCTTTCTTATCAGTGCCACGGGGTGAGGAGAAAAAAGCACTGGACAGAGTTGCATTCTTGGGCTGTACCTTATTCTTCCACTTGGCCTGAGTTTTTATAAAATTTCAATAAATTAATTATGACTGTGTGAATTTGGCTTTTTAAAAAAATTCTTTTATTTACTGATTTGAGAGAAAAACACTGATTTGTTGCTCCACCCATTTATGTATTCATTGGTTGTTTTCTGTACATGCCGACTGGAGATCAAACCCGCAACTTTGGCATATTGGGATGATGCTCTAACCAACTGAGATGCCTGGGCTGGACTTTCTGGTATTGTTTCTTGAAAATACTATAGGTGTAGCAGAGTAGAAGAAAGTCACGGCTTCCTTCCTAGGGGAGTAAAGGTGCAAGAGGCCTCTTGAACATAGTGTCCTTGCTATCTATAGTAGTACATTCTACAAGCCAGGACCTAGTACCGGCTGCCTTGCCTATTAATAGACTTTTTCAGAAGGTCAGTTGTAGCAGGAGTCTCAAGATAGAATAATCTGGTCTCAGACCTCCTGTGTAACTGATGCCCTCAGGACCACCTTTTATTTTATGGGAAGCTGCAAAGAATAGGCATTCCATGAAGTACCAGAGCACTCTAGTGGTTCGCATCCTCAGCTAGCTGTCCTATCCCTAATTTGTCGCTGGCATAGTTTGTTCCTTTCACCCAGTAGGCTGAACCAGTTTCCTTGGATTAGTCACATCAGCAGTTGTGAAGTCTCAGCTCCAGTCCTGGAGTGTTCTACCTTACAACAAAATAAGGAAGGATGGGGGCTAAAGGTCAAGGACTTCTAATCTTGAGGAAAGACAGAAATCTTCTTTGGAAATCTCACAGGGAGCCTGTCTTCAGATTAGGGTAAAGAAATGCTAACCCTATCTAAAAATAAAGGGATCTACACATTAATTTATAACCCATTTAAGTCCATGATCTTGGCAGCCAGATTTCTTACCTCATAATAGATTCTTCCAGGACTTATTTAATAGCAGGCTCAAGCATTGTTAATAAAAACATTTATTTTGCATTTTATACAGAACAACCTGAAGTCTGCATCATGACTTAACAAGTTACCCAGGGGTTTACAGACAGCGTGTCCATCTGAACAGCATGGTTCTGGGATTAGGGATCCACACAAACACAGGCAGGAGTTGTGAGGGAGAAAGGGGGCACAGCAGGAGTGTATATCAATCCTTTCTTAAAGAAAAGGCAGTACGGCATTCTGAGTCACTGAAAACCTGTGCAGATGGGGCTTCTAAAACAAACACTATACTGTGAGCTCTTAGGGATGGGGCAGGCAGGATAAGGATCTTGATAAATAAAGGGATATATTCTTGTGGCAGGGGATGAGGAAGGAGGCTTACTATTTTTAATGCCCTCAGCCCCAGGACTTGATATTCAAAGGAGACCATGTTCAAACTTAAGTAATTTTCCTGCTCAGAAAAAGGTGCTAGTACCTCTGGAACCAAGGCCATGAAGATATCATGCTGTTCAGTCCTAAGTCCCTATTCTATGCCCCACAGCATACTAAAATAAAGGGAAAAAAAGGTCAGAGGGTAATGGCTAAAAAATTTAGTTCATTTTAAGCACTGATAAAGCCAAATGGCTGGGAAAGACCATATATCAGACAGTGGTTTATACAACCTGCAGAAAGAGGTCTCTAGTAGAGATCAAGAGGGGAAGGTCCAGAGCATCCTCAGCTTGAGGTGCAGCATGTATAGAAAATCTCTGAGGAGGTATTAAAGCAGTGTAGAACAGAACACTCCCAGATCTTAATTTTTATGGGATAACTTAAAAAGGAAAGAAAAATCAAACACTGGGTGCCAGTAACAACAAATGCCATGGCCTTTACGGTCACGGCCTTTATGGTTACCTGGTAGCATAAAAAAAAAAAATGCCCAAAGCATGTGCAGCTAACCAATAGGTCTTGCTAGGAAGTGTCTGTGCAGATGGGACTTGGTACAGCTGACAATCAAACATGATTCCTATGGAAACAGAAGGGGCAGAGTCCTGGTTTGCTGGCCTACTGAGGGCTGGGCAGAATAAGTGACTGTAGATCCTCTGCAATCAGCTTTGACCCAGGGAAAGAGGAGATTCTCACTCTAGAGGTGGTGTGTG